AATGATTACAAAGAAGTGTGATTCTCCCATCCACAAGAACTGAATCACAACATCAATCACTTCTTCATGTGGATGGGAGACCGACCGTGTCCACGTAGACCGTAGACCTCCGAAGGTCCAGATGTTCAAGGGATTCAATGGTCTTTGATGAGCAGCCAAGAAATTGAACACTTTGCGCACTGGTTTGATGTTCACTTATGTTCACTGTTGTTTTTATTTTACCATTTGCTTGACCCACTGGGCAAGCAATGCAGAGTGGTAAAACTTGTGCAGAAAACTGAACCTCTGACACAAAACGGTGTCCAGCTTCAGGAGTTCTTTTGAGGTACCACCAAGATCAATCTTGCAGCCCTGGGGGGGGAATTCCAGGTAGCTTGAGGATGGATCAATCACGCAGCTTCCCCTGACTCCTTCAATTTCGCTTGGGGATGCGACATCTTCCCCTCGCAGGGTCTCCCATGCAGTCAGGATGCGTCCACCAGAACGTTCCATGGTTGGCTACGAACCCTGCGGGGGCCAGGCACCGAAGCTTCGTTTCCTACCCCGGAGCCCGGACATCCAGGCGGGTTCCAGCTCCGCGTATGGCGTGGGCTGGCCGCGCTCCGCTGGGGAGCTGGGTGGGGCGAACGAAAGAGTTGGATTTAGCAGCAGGAGATGCCTTGATATGTCCTTAGAAGATGTATACTTTAAGAGCATTTTTGTTGGGCTTCTATGAGATGCTTAAGATGCTTAAGGCCAGAAAGTGGTTTCCAAGCTGCTTCTCATTGGAAGGGAATGTAACATGATGCAAAACAAGAGGGCTTGATCCAGATTTGGATCGATTTGGCGATTCAGTGGGTTCTTCCCATTCGACCAAAACCGTTTGCAGCTGAAGCCAACACCAACACTCACCAACACCAACACTCAAAGCACCAACCGTGCTACTGAAGTCCTTGGTGGTGAAGAGCATCTTTTTCCAGAACAGCAGACCATAGATAGATGACCTTTTACGCCCTTGGTTGGTTGATGAACAGAGGGGATACCCCCTGGTCGTGTACAACCAATAGGTATATGATACCTGGCATCAACCCCTGGTATTCTCACCCCAAAGGATATTGTTGATCTGGACTTTTCACTTGGTTCCACCGAGCCACGCCAAAAGCACGCAGGCATCAGAGGAGGTGGCCACCATGGCACTGGAGGACGGGAAAGCGCTCAATGGCTTTGAGACTGCAACGCTGCGGGGTCACTTCCCACGCATTGTCGACATCGCCAACCAGCTTGGTAGGCATTTTCCGGGATTGTAAGGGTCACAAAGGGTCTTCCGGTCCAATGTTGCGGAATTGCGTCCCCACAGATTTGAAGGATGCACTCTTTGTGTAAGAGCATTTACAGTATATAGTTCTAATTGAGTTCTAAAGAATGTGGTCCGGGACATGGATGTGCCTGCCCGACTCATCACGGTGCCTACCGCGAACTAGGACGACTGAAGGTGTCACGGTGCGAACGTCCAAGAAGGTGTCACGTTCACCGGTTCACCACTCGGTTCACCGGGCGGTTGGACCATGGGCGTCACCGTTTGGTTCCGTTTCACACGGTCGCCAAACAGGTACAAGGACGGACTCCATCACCTCCATCTATGTTTGTTTTGTTTTTTTGGGGTTCCTCCCCCAAACACGCAAAAGAGCTGGCTGGAGTGTTCTTTTTACATGTTTCAATCACCGTCGGCAATTGCAGACTGATGCAACCCGGACATGGGGAAAGAACAACAAGATCTCTCTCTCCGGTTCGTGTTCAAACGAACCTGAACGGAGGGACCGACGAGCTCCGGAGGGACCTTCAGATGGCTTGACTCACAGGGTTGAGAACTGACAGATGAACGAAGGAACTGACAGATGGTGCGCCATGCAGAACTGAGCAAAGCATTGGAAATCATTGGAACTTCATCCCAACATGGTGTTAAGAACTGACCCGATGCCCTTGTCACAGAAGTACATAGACTTCTAAATTGACTACCATGAGCATACCATGAACCGCACCCTCAACCATACTGAGTCCGAAAAAGACACCCAGCAACTAGGCGTCATGTCATCATGGGTCGTCCAGTACGGGGATTTTTTTGGAGAACTCCTGAGCGCCAGGATTTCCTGAACGCCACCAGCACTGAGCCACTCCAGCGCGCTGCTGTAGCGCTCCTACGAGCGCTGCGGGCGTGGAAAGCGTAGTGAGCGCTGCGGGCCTGATCCCTGCATACTGTAGGAGAGAACTTATGAGGTGAGGATCCAGGATGACCTGCACAGAACATACACTTGATATCATTTAACACAATCACATGCAAAATTTGTAAATAATGTAATTAACTTAATATGTAATCATATCATCTAGTCCATCGAGGAGTGAAAGAACATCTTGCTGCCCAAGAGATGAATGAATTCATAGGTGAACAGTGCACGGGCATGTGATATTCATTTCATGTTTGTATTGTAAAGTATTGTAAAGTTATCTTCTTGCTTAATCATATTTATTGAGATAGATGTGGGACTGTCACAAATTTACAGGGTAACTTGTGCTTAATTCATGGTGGGAGAATCCATGAAACTTGTCAAACCCATAGCAGATCATGGGAGGATTTGTTTGTTGGCAGAACCCTATTACTGTAAGCCGAACAATTTGGGTGTATAGGTGGATGCGATTCGAGAGAGGAAAGTCCTTGATATGGATTTCATGAGCTGAATGTGCAGATTATTGGAAGGTTGTGCAATAGATTTTAATTCTAGGGTATTATAAGTTTGTGTTTGGAATTCCGGTAGTTTGGTCTACGTACTAGCGGGTTGAGAACACCGATCATCTAGCCGATCAGCCGTGCTTTGTTCTGTTTGGATTAAGAAAGTCACTACAATATATACAATACTTATCTCTCTCTATATATATACATACACATGCATATGGTACACGTTGGAGTAATGACAGCCGTCCGGCCCCTATAACCGGTGGCTCACGCTGGTTCCGTGGACCGCGCGGACCGGTGGCGGATCGCGACGGATGATGCTCGGACGGGCCGAACGTGGAACACGTGAAGGCCGGCCGTGGATTGCCGGCCGTACATGTGGCTATGGGTCAAAACGGGGGGAAGATGGTTGACCGAAAAGGAACATCGACGACATACAGGAGATCTACTAGGGCTTGGGGCTTCCGGTTTTGACCGACGGATTTACAGTCATATTAAAGAAATGCAGCAAATGCAGGTTCCAGGTGGTGTAGCTCTTCTTTGTGTATCTTCCGTGATACCGAGCTCCTTTGGGCATCTCGAGCTCTTCCACCGTAAGCGCAGTCCGAGATCCGAGCTGAAAGCGCTTGCAGATGAAAGAAATGAAGGTCTCTGGACCTCCAGTCTGGGGTGTAGTGACTGGTCGTGAAGATGACAATGTTGAGGTGTCCTATTTTTCATTTCGCCAATACTGGATCGGTCGATCCTTGCTTAGTGAGAGGCATGCACACCATTTGCTGCATCTCAAGAGCCGCTCGCAAGCGAGATGCGTCAAACGTGGAATTCCACGTCCAACCAAAATGGCTCTGGAAGGCCTTCCGGCTGGCAGCTTCCGGTTTGAGGACGGCTGGCGCCTTCACGGCACATCCCAGCTGCAGTCAAAGCCACATCTGCATCCAGAAAGAAATCTCCAAGACTCCCTGAAGAAGGTTCTTGGAGGAACATGGCAGATTGCATGAGCTGGTCGACCCATGCCCTTGACTCACGTGACTTCAGGGTCTCCGTGGCCGCCACTGGCCATTGAGCCTCTCTTGCCAGGAATACAGGAATAATAGAACAACCATTTGCAGCCCGACAATCCCGCTAGGGCTGGCACACCTAAACTGGCCTTGCGCAGGCACACAGGAAACCAGTGATGTCTGGGGGGCCCAGAAGTTTTTCAGAATCACAAACCCAGGGTCGCCATTGAAGACCTCTTGTATCTAAGGACACCGTACATGTTGCCGGGCTGCTGGGTATGTGTTGTTCAGGGTAGTTGATGGATCACTTGGGGCCCCTCCCAGAGTGACCTCTATTCTTGATCACCAACCACTCAAAATAAGGTCAGTTCCTATCAAAACAAGGGTCAGAACCTTTGTCATGCCAGATAGAACCAGATCATGTTGAATAGCACAAGAGCATGTGACACTCTTTGTCACATCTCATATTTTGGCAGTCCAGCTGTACTTGAGAAGGGTGTGTGACGTTCCAGTTGCTGGCCAAGCCAACAGCCAGCACAGCCAGCTATCATGGACTTGGAGATGTAACAACAATCTGCACCATCCAGGGTTTAATTCGCAAACGGTCGACAGAGATCTACAAAGAAGAGCGGGGCTGCCGGGGCTGCCAGCTGCAGGCTGCCAGTGGGGCTGCCATGGACTCGGCGTCGGAATCACTGGGAATCCGCACGTGACCAACTATTGCGCGGAATCCGTCACCAAGACAGACAGCTGGGCGCGGAATCCGTCAACAAGGGTTCCAGATGGAGATGGTTCCAAGACGGACAGGAATTAAACGTTTTCTATTGATTTGGACGGGTCACGATCTGGATACGCTTCGCTTGGACGGGTCACGTCTTCGCTTGTTTGGTGTCTCTTGATGTCCTTGTGCACTCCAGAGCCGGTGTTCATTCAGCCGAATGGAATGCTGATCCCCCCCATGTTCTCACCGGAAGATAAGGAATTGACCCACAGTTGTTTGCTGGTACTTTCTTTGACGCATAAAAGAATGAAATGCCCTTGTTACTAGAAGCTTCTAGCTACTGGTAGTAATGTCCTTGTTTCTAGTAGCAATGCCCTTGTTACTAGTAGCTTCTAGCAGATCGAGCAAAGTTGGGGCGCCAGGCAGCTGGGCCCTCCAAGCCCATCAACCCGAAACAACGGAACACGTCGGGCGCGTCAGCGCAATCCGCGGGCATCGGGGCTGTTGGGCCAGCGCAAGCCACGGAGCCATGGTAGATGTGCATCTGAAAGCCGGGTGAGATGCAGAAGAGGAGATGAAGGCTGCAATCCTCGCAGCTTGGCTTCAGAGCTTTCGACCCCCTTTTTTTTCGGTCGGATTTTCGGATTTTCACGCGGCCTGGAGCACTGGAGTTTAACCATCTAGATCTGGTCAGTCGATCGGTCCTGAGTTTTGCCACCCGTTTCTTTTTCAGGAAACTGCCATGATGTATATAATTATGCGTGAATGGCATTCATGGAAGTGTTCAACACATGTCACGTCTGTGCCCTCTTCATAGCCCATCTTCAGGTCTGGGCGCTTTTGCTCAGCGGCTCGGCGACAGCGGAGCAGCCGACATTGCTCGCGGCGGAAAACGCGCGCGCGGTCCGTCGGGACCGCGCAGCTGTCGCGTTGGGTGCAAAGGCGACCCTGGACCCTCAAACAGCTAGATGTTTTGCGCAATTTGGCGGGGAAAGACATGCGATTCCACGGCGGGAAAGAGAGATTCATGACAGACGTGTGGAACAGCACGACCTTGTCATGTGACCATATGTGACCATGACGTGGTGATACTCGTACCTCCTGTTCCATAACTCATCCACAGCCAGCAAAGCGGCAAAGCCGGCTGGAAGCAGATGGATGTTGGAGCCACAATTCTACCTTTTCTTTCATTCTTTCGCAACGGACTCTTCAAACATGACTTCACCGACAACTCAAATGAATTCAGATGCCACGGACCTGCCTTGTACACGAAGAACACCACGAAATTCTACCTAGATAACTATAGTCTCCAATCACCTCCTACATAATAGGATCCATAGGGATGGACAGGAACTTTGAGACATGGCCTGAAGCACCTGAAGACAGATGGAACCGGTGGGTCTCTTCCCGTGACACTCCCAGACACGACCCATGTCATATATGAGATGCCATTGAAATATGCCATCCATGGACCATGGAGTGTTTGGGACTTGTCTCTTGCGGACACGATCTCTCGTGTCAGCCTGAGGCTTTGACAGGCACGGTGTCCGGTACCGGTGGGTGGGTCGGACCAGTTTGGACTGGTCAAGTAGCCATGGTTTCGTTAAAGGCACCCTGTTTGCAGAGGGTTCTTCAAGTAGCCACGGTCGAAATCCGCCATGCCATCCACGTAACCATTGATTTTTCTCAGGGAGTGTATGTTTTGATGTGTTTTCTCTTGGACATCTGGAGGTCGGAATCATTTGTTTCATACTCTTGATCTTTTCTTGAAAGATCCTATGGTTATACAGATGCATCATACATCATACTACATTATCATACCACTTCATAATATACTGTATATATATAATATCATATAACTATTACTATATATCATATATATATATATATTACCATTTGGCAGCGTTCGATCAGAACATGGAGGTACACAGAGCTACAACCAGTGGTTGACTGGCATACTGGTAGACCCCTAGAGATGGCAAATCACGTGTATCCGCTTGTTTTGTTCTTCATGTTTGTTACGTATTGTATGGTTCCAGTGGGATCTCAATACTGTAGTGGATACACGCCATGACAACAGATTAATTGGTTGGAATCAACTTCCACGACTGGCTGCCAGTGTTGCTGTGGTAGTTTTCGGGGTGTTGAACAAGTAGGGCATTATGTACGTTATTTACTTCTTTGTTCTGGCTTTTCTCAAGTGACATGTTAGTGACTTGCTTGTTGGCCCTGAATGAAGGAAGGAGTTAGGTAACCGATACCGAAAGAAACCAGGGATGGTTTGGGATCAAACAAAGTGCATCTACCTGCCATTCAAGTATACTTAAATCAGTAATAATAGTCATATAGCAGACACAAATTAGTCATAAATCACGTTATATATGTTGACGGTTGAGATGCTACTAGATAGTATACAGTATCTAGTGCACTTTAAACTTACATAATTCATATCTACAAAGAAGGCAGAGAAAACGTTTTTTTTCACAAGATCAAGATCATGTGACACATGTGTCATGGGATCTGGGGTGTCGGGATCTGGGATTCAGCTTCGGCCCTCCGGCGCTGAAGAGCACTTCGGTCTCAGTTCATGAGCCTGTAAAACGGTGCTGCAGAGCTCGCCCTCTTGGAAGTACAAAGAGGAAGAGGACCTTCCAAGTGTTCACCTTTCTAGTCGATGGAGTGTAAAAGGAAAACTATACTGTAGTCCCTTGATCAGAGGACCCATACAGAGGAATCCATGGGGGGGTGAAATTCACCCCCCGGACGTCCCGGAACTGTGGATCACTGTGTTCCACTGGAACCATCGAACCGTGGCGGCCATGCAGCCATGTTTCGAAACGCCGAACGCGGGCGAATTGGGAAGCTCGGTGTGTTCACTCGGTGAGGAGTCCGAGCCTCCCTCTGGTTCGGCATGTTGACCTCCGCGTTCCGCGGCGCGGTTCAGCCCCAAACACGCTCTCCATTGGGGAAACCGGTGTCGCATCGACCATCGGCCACGCGCTGTACGAGTGCTTTTGTTTGGGCGGTGTCTTGACACCATCGGCCTAAGAACATCGGCGTCCTTGACTTCGATCGAACCGAAAGAAACCGACCGGATGTCCCCACGACCCCGAGGTCCCCGGGCGAATCGATGCCGAAAGCGACCCCCTGACGGCCTTGACGGGGGTCCACCATAAGAGTCGACCAGATGGGAGCTTTGCACAAATGAGAGACGACGAGATCAGATCAGACTATCATATGTAAATATACTATTGATATCACAGATCCTACTTGTACACCCAATTCTATGGCAACTGTCATGGCAGTCTCAGATTCGTCGACATCACTCGACTCTGACCGGTCGTGGATGTCTCTTTTTTCGCGCCGCGTCGCGACGGAGGCCCTGCTGGCTGGCGGAGGCTTTGCCTGCTGGGAGTGGAGGGTCTGGACGTTTGCCCTACTTGTAGGGCTCGAAGTAACTTCTAAGAAGGTAGGACTTGGGTGGGTTTAGAGGGTCCAAATACTTTCTCAAGAGGTACAACTGGAGCCCTATAGGGTTGGTGGATGTGTCAACATGGGCTATGGCAGATGTGCCGAGCCCCTCAAGTAGACGGCTCGATTCACCTTGACGAAGTTCAAACATGACCGGTGGGACGACGACCTTTTTGAAGGATCAGTTGGGGTGGGCCGATCAGTTGGGGTGTCCCATGGAGTGTCAAGGGATGTCAAGGGTCACGACCAGGCTATGAAAGGGTACACGGCTCCACTGATCTCTTGAGGTCCCTTCCCACTCGATCTTCTGCCCTCCGAAATCCGCAGAAATCCGGACGGCCAACGGGCTTGGGATCACAAAGAAACAGCAGAGCAGATGGAATTCAACGATATGGTATGATATGGTTTTGATTAAACGCAGAGATGTGTCAATGTTCTAATACAAGTTGTTGTGTTTTTGAATACGGGTACCGAACTAGGATCATGCGAAAGGTCTCAACCGGAAGATCAACTAACTAGCTCTTTGTAAAACAAACACGGTCGACAGGCGGTAGACTTCTTACAAGATCTTATAAGTTTGGAACCCAATCTTTTCGGCACCATCCACCACATCAAACTGTTTGCACCGGCTGTTTGTTCCCAAACGACCCCAGGGACGAGAGAGGCCAAGGAGTTTGCGTTCAAAGCCCTTTGATCATGAAGCTTTCACTGCACATCTCATCACGCCGCTTGGCTATTTACTTTGTGCAATTATTTTGAGCTTTGCGAGAGAGAGAGAGGGAGAGAGAGCCGGAGAGCAAAAAATGGGAAGGGCTAATGTGCATGGAAGTCGGGGAATGGCTACTGGGAGCTCTCTGAAGAGGCATTGCTAGGAGCTGGGCACCTATCTTTGGGTTCCATATCAGTTCTTACTCCTTCTCTTTATATCAGTTCTTACTCCTTCTCTTTCTATCAGTTCTTACTCCATATCAGTTCTTTCTTACTCAGAGCTGGGCACCTTCTTTATTCCTTATCAGTTCTTACTTTTGACGGGTGAAGGCGTGTATACACTGGTCACGGAAATGGCTCTCCTCCTCGTAGGTGCTGGATTGATTGGGGTTGGCCAGCAAGAGTTGTTTGGGAGCCATGAGCCAGGAGTACTGACACGGGGTATATGTACTGACACGCGGGCCAATGAAGGATAATAATACATGATAATACAATATATAGTAGTAATATGTATAATAATTGTAATAGTGACCAATCTTCCAATCTAGAGGCCTTCTCCATATTGTCTCACTGGCAGCCTGAGCGGATGAGGATACCACATATGAAGAGGGGAGTTTGCGTGTTATTCACTTTTGGCCACACGGACACTCCAAATTGAGAGGGGGGTCCAAAGTGCTCCAAAGTGGGTTGCTTTTTGATTGGGTCTACCGGGATCCAGAGATGGCAAGGTCGCCTTAAGTTGAGAGAAACCAAAATAATAAACAAGTTGCCACGTCACGTGTTATTGTGATGTTCCTTTGGGAATACAGACTTTTGTCTCTGTTGGCAGGAGAGTTTTTTTTTACTGGTTTTATGGGTCAAGTCATGTTCAAAATGAAGAAAGGCAATCCCGGTTTTGCTTAAGGTGATCTTTTCTTCCCTGTGGTTAAATCCCCTTCTGGGGAATATGTTATACTTTTTTTCAGGTTTCCAAGCAATTCAAAACTATGCAGAATGCCAGCTCGTGGAGCCTCCGGAGGGTTGAAGATGAAGCAATCCATGCTCAGTTCCATGCTCATCCCTTCATGCCTTTGGACAAATTCAGCTTTGGCCATTTGGCTACGGCCAGCAACGATCCATACCGTGATCCACAGGGTTTGGATTGATCCATGCCCTTTGGATCAAGCTTGGGTAACACTGTGGTGGAGCAACAACTTCATTCTGCAAGGTTGGCTGGAAAGGCAATACTGGAGCTCTGAAATCTTCACTTTGGCAAGTCTTCCTCTACCAGAGCCTCCGCCGCCCAAAATGAACTTAGGGGCGTCCAGTAACCCATTTTGCGCCAAAATGAATTTAGCGGCGTCCAGTGACTCCATTTTGCAAGGTTATCCAAAATGTGCAAAGTGGAGGCCGGAAACTTCACTCTGCAAGGCTTGCTCCAGTCAAGGCCCTAAACTGAATTCACTGGCGTCCAGAAGCTTCATTCTGTGACGTTGAACAGCTAGAGGGCCACCACTGTCAAAGTGTGCAAAGGGGGGCCAGAAGCTTCATCCTGCAAGGCTTGCTCGAGTCGAGCTCTTGCTGCCCCAGAATGAACTTAGCAGCGTCCTCGAAGCCGTCAAGCCTTGCAAATGGAATTACCGGTCGCCGCTAAGTTCATTTTGGTCAGTGTTTAGTGAGGGGTTGGATCAAGTCACCAGTCTGTTTGATCCATAGGACTTGGATCAGCGCTTTGATCCATAGGGTTTGGGTCACTCTCGCTGCAGCGCGGAACGATCCATACCAGGGTTTTTGACCACACCCATTTGGTGCTGGAGTCTTCCCTAAAATCAATCGCACAACTCTTTGCCACAAAGAGTTCTGGCTTTCTTGCTCGGACTCTTTGCTTTGTACGAGGACATCCCCACCAAAGCTTGACAGTATTTGATGCTTTCTTCATGTTTCTTCAACCCCTTCCAGTACGGAAACAACAACTCGGTCAGTCGGTACTCATCAAATCCCAAGCCATCCATGAGACTGGAATATTTACCTGCATTGAACTTTAAAAAGGCTTATAGCCACCCCAATGGCCCCAATGTAGGCAACTATTCCAGCCTTGTGGATGGCTTGGGTATGGATTCACCATGACTCACCTCTCACGCTGAGTGCGATGTGACACGCACGTTCCGAGGATGTCGCCCGCTGCTTGGCTGATCTGTCGTTGGTCTCCAAATTTTGGTGATCTCTTTTACGGAGTGGAGGGTGGATGTATTTGTTGATGTGATTGACAATAGGGCATCTCGAATTCTCGACAGTTCGACCTCCACCCAGGGCCAGGGATAAGACAATTGTGGACAAGTCTTTCTGAAGATTGGCCTACCCAGGGAAAGTGGATAGCCCGAAAAAACATTTTTGGCGGATGGGTCTCATCAATACAGAAAAGGAGTCAGTTTGGGAATTTTTGGTGATGTGTTTTTGTTGGAAGATGAGGATTGACTCCCTACACCCATTTCTTCAGATTTCTACACACCACAATTAGACATGGTCATCAGTGCAGCAAGAACTGCGCGAGCTTTATTCCGTTTTTTTCACCCAAGATGAATTGTTCAGTGCTAGCACTGGAGTTTTTACATTGCCCTGACAGTACAGCACCGCCAAAAAAAAAACTGTAAGGAAGTTCTAGAGTTTTAGGGTATAGGGGGTTAATCCAATGTTGTTATATGTGTTTTGTTTAATTCTATTTTGTGAAGCTCGACTGTTGTTTATCAGGCTTGGAGCCTCCAGCGTAACTCTTCGTTACAGAACCCAACTCATAGAAGGGTTTAGAGCCCAAGACGGGCTGCGTAGAGGTTGATCACCCAGCTGCGGCGGGTCTGAGCGCCCAGAGATGTTGGCAAGACTCCAGAGACGTCCTTAAGTGCGGCGGAATGCCTAGAGACCGTAGCACAGCCTGCCATTGAGTTTGAAGAGCTATGATGAGACCTTTTGCATAGCAAGACACCGCAGGGTGGAAAAACTCCCAATCATCGACCGAAGGTCAGGGCACGTTGACCGGATTTTCCCCCAAACCTTCCAAATGACTGATTTGACATTTGTCATGACAGGTCGTTTTCCAGTCATGACGTGTTGTACTGGGTATATGGCAGTATTAGATGGCATTTGACCTCATTTGTGCATTTTTTATTTGTTTCCTCTTGCGCGGCATGCGCATTGAAGTGCACCTATTAGCCTATTTTTGTGTTTGTTTGAGTTGTTAGTACGAAAACCTGTTGCGTGCTTTGCTTCTCGGCCAGCAGTTCATTGCAGTTCTACTTTGCATGTGCGGTTGTATGATGTGTTGTCAACATTTTTCGTTGCACAGCATTCATCTTGCTTTATGACGCCAAATAGACATTTGCTGGCCGACACTGCGCAAATTCAAGGGTCAATGAAAGCACTTGTTGATGTTAGTTTAATATTTTTGATCTTTGTTCTATGAGTTTTGTTTCCAATGACTCAATGATGCTTTGCAGGAATGTTACTATGGCGGGTTGTTCTACGATTTTGTGTTGCATTGCATTGTTTTCGATTTGGGTGGTTTTGCATGTTTTTTTCCATTGGGTGTACTGTACATAGATTCTGGAAGTATTTCTGCCCCTAACCACCTTGACCACTGCTCTCAGACTCTTCAATCATTACGGCCATCATTCACTGTAGCAATTGGACAAGATTTGCTTTGGATCTGAATCTGGCTCTCCAACCTCGTCAACAACGAACCGACACGGGGGGTCCAATTGACGGTGTTCGATGGTCATTTGACGGCGCACGATGTGATATTTGTTTTGCAGCTTTGCACTCGCTTTTTGCTTGCCCCGTGACTTGAAGCTGCCGATGACGTATTCGCATTGACGGCCACCCTGGTTGGCTCATCTCGTTCATGACACGATTAAGATTCCGCGGATGATTACAACCGCTAGATTTATCCCGTGCAATAAAAGCTGGAAGTGTTCTGATGGGAAGTCTTTGACTTCCCAACATTAACCCATGCAAAGGGTTCGTCCTACGTAGGCATTAAGTGGCTTTCTGCAATCTGAACTATAATTCAACAACTTGCTCCAATACGTCATTTGTAGGGTGCGCCACTTTCCCAGACTGGACAGCAGGAACTAGGAGCCTATTCTTAAATCTGCAGCACCAATAACTTGGGCACATGGCACCTAGCGATCTCTTCTCTAGCTTGGGGTGACAGCAGCGGGGTTTTGTGAAGCTATACTGTGAGTCTACTCGTGCGTGGACTGTTTGTAAAATTCATGTATTGGAAACCCTGCCCTGTCATTCTCAGTTCCGGCATCACCAGCGTTCCTGGCCTTGGTCTTAGCAGCAGTGTACCAGGGAGACTCCAGGGTACCTCGTTGGTCTCCCGACGGTTGGCCCCAGGCGGCGGAGCGGCCTTTGTGGCGCCGCTTCTTGGAGCGCCGCTTCGGGTGGCCGCCGGAAGAAAAGCGCCTCCGCGCCACCTTGCAGCCCAAGGCGCCACGGCAAGGGCACCCACGACCCGGTACAGTGGAGGTGAAGTGTGGGTTACACCGCTCGATTGTCGTCGATAGCGTTTGAAATTATTTTGGCCCTGCTTTACTCTATTGTGACCCCGTGACCCCGTCTTCCCTTGAAACATGTAGGCTCTTGAACATCGTGGATGGTCCCCTGTAACGGTAAATCTGTCACCAAAGGTTCCTGACAGGACTGCGCAAACACAATATCTGATCCCGCATTGTGCAAACACAATACGCCTGTGTAGCAAAAGGTGTCGCCGCGCCTTCACAAGCGATCCGTGAAGTTGGACGCTCATGAGCTGACGACTGGCTCATCACGTCCGAGCGTTTGGTGAAGCCGAGAATCGCCTGGTGAAGTGGAGCCGCTGCCCTTGGAGCCCGACTTTCACAACATCGCTTTCGGGGATCCCAGGGTTTGTACGGGTGACGTTCTCCAGTCACCCGTGAACTCTTGCTGAGGCGCGGAGTTCATTCCAGACTTCGAGTGCACATGAGTCAGTTGGACTTGCATCGACTTGTCCAACGGTATCGAGTATCGAGCCGCGAAAGTGTGCTTCAATTTCGACCTCGCCTTCTTGGTTCCGCGGTTTTGAGTACTGAACTGAGCCTTTGTTGGGCTGTTCAACCTGCCGCTCTGTGGTGGTGATTGAGGTCCTTCTGATTTGTGGTGGGGATGCTCAAGCCACTTGCGAGGCATCTCAGTACCGCACTTCAGACGGAACATGACATCCACCGGACGTCCATGTGCTGAGGGGGTCCTCCAAGAAACTCGTGCGATGAGACTGATTCGGGCAAAGAAGATGAGTCAGTTTGTCCCTCCAACCCTCCAACTGAAGGCAGATGCCAGCTTGCCTGCTAGCGTGGTCTCTATGCATTGTAGTGGTGGTTTGCAAAGTACAGCGTACTGCAAATACAGAAGGCTCAGGAGGCCCTTAGTATTCAGTGGGGCGTTGTCTCCATGAGCCTGGGACAAATCTTTAGCTCGCTTCGGAGTTGTGTTGTGACTTGATCTGTTCTGGAACGGCTTTGGGTTGCCATAGCGGTTTGTGTCGCAGGTGCTCTTTTTGTGCTTGGCCTTTGCTGGCTAAGCAGGGACATGCCTGAGATGTGTGCTGAGAATGCTTCAGTTTGCCCAGTTCACTCTACGTCTAGCACAGAAAAGCTGCAACAAAATTTACACTCTCACTCTGACTTGCTAACATGAAAGTGGATGGCATGGCCTAACAGGGGGTGCCATCAGTGCGATCCACTTCCATGTGATATCTTCGTTGGAGTGTAAATTGTGTTGACAACATGTGACAACATCATGCAAGGCCACTTATTTTTTTGTTTAAAGAAGCTAGACCTTGCTGTGGACCATGGGCACTTGCTTGGTGGGAGTTTCAGACCAGGCATGCGCAACTTGACTAAACGCCGCATGTGCTTCAGTGCTTCCTGTCTTACCCGCATGAGTTTGCATCGTTTCCGTGCACAGTCCTTTGGACACTTCAAGGAAAGCAATGGAACACACAGAGGCGCACTGTCTACGACGTTGGGTCTATAGAAAATCAAGTTATTCGCTCTTGTAGGCACAGTTCCACTCACAGCTTGTCAACTGAGAGCTGTTTTGGGCTTTTGTGCTACACAGTAACCCCACGCCCATGTGCCTGTCCAAGACTGAACCTTGCTTCTGCCCAGTCACAGCTGATGGCTCCCCTGCAACCATGGCGACGAAAGCTGGGGCACGGGAACCAAGTATGGAGGGTGAGGAGTGGCCGAATGGATTTATATAAGCGCAGCGGTGCAACAAGAATCAGGAGCTTGCGTGGGTGTGTCGCAACGTCTTTCTCAGAAACACCACGTCTTCGGCCGTTCTGTTTTTTGATGTGTGTTTGGTTGGGCAGTCGGGCCTCTCTGAAATCAAGCCGCCGAAAGTTCGGCGACGAGATGTTGCCTAAGTTAGTTCGAGTCGCAGCGGCCCTGAAACGGGTGTGACTTTAGTGGGCCGAAGATGGGAGGGTCGTTGGGAAGCTGAGGTTTTCAGAACCCTGTAGACTGTAGGTTGTATCCCAGTTGGATACCCCAGTATGGTCTTGTAAGGTCACTTCACCTCTCCTTGGTTATGACAAGACACTGACTCCCCAGTGGTCGGGAGCAGTTCGGCTTGATCGGAGCGCCCCAAGCTGTGGTGTCACAGCTTGTCCCCATGACGAAGACTGACAGCTTGATCGAAGTGACATGCAGGGAACCCGTTAATTGAACATGCCAGGAGTCACAAAATTAATAGGGCTGCCTGGCATATTCAACGAACGTTCCAATTCTGCTGACTGGTAGGAGATTCTTCATTTCAGTCTTGCATCCAGCATATTATAGATCAATAGATCATTATATGCCGCGAACAATGACTGTTCAATCTGGGGGTGCTTTTTTCTAAGGCTTCCAGAAAGCCGTTTTTTAGCTGAGCTGATCAAGTTATTTTCTATTTTCCCAATGGTTAAATCATGTCAAATCCCCAAACCTGGTGAATATTGTTTTAACCTTTTCCAGGTTCCTTAAGTAAATCCAAGCAATGTCCCGCTATGTTGTTCCCCTATATTTATATCTATTTTTCATACATCACCGGTGTCCTCCCTCCTTCGAGAAGCTGCCGCTGAGGGCCACGGTCTCTTCCTACTGTTGGAGCCCTGACTGGTCACCAGTGGACTGCTGCTTCTTCTCGCCCATGGACACCGCATTGCAGGTGTGCTTCGCCAACAACACAGCCCCCTGGAAGAAACGGCCGACAAGACGGGAGGCTCCGGCTTTTTCTGGGGCCGCCGCTAGCGGCGCAGTGAGAGACCACGACCAGTCGACGGATCTCACTCTACAGGATTTTGTATACGGAATTCCGCTCCTTTCTTCTACGTTGTGAATTTCAACTGGTCGCGGCCCCACTCACTTTACTCCCAAAAGGGCCAAGCTCCCAACAAGTGATCATGTGGAATCATCAATTATGAGGTTTTGCACTCCATGTCTGGTGGGGCTTTACTACTCAACAGTCTAGGTCTGTGGTGGACATGTCTTTCATCAGGGTCCAGCACGTCGAGCCAAGCTTGTGCAAGTGAGCTTTAGCTCTCAAGGACGCAGGTTGGCGTTTCGTGTTCGGGCACAGCTGAGGGCATGTTCATGGATTGCTGCCCATGGGAGACGGTAGAGGACGGGTGATGCAACAGTCCGCTGGTTCGCTGTGAAAGAAATCGACTGGACATTGATAACGAGGGGCGACTTTTTGACACCTTGAGAACGTAAGCGTTTTGTTTCGATGCTTGAATCAACTAGTCACAACTAATTAGTCTCCATATGAGGTGGATCAGTGGATCATGATTCATAGTCTCCATTTGTTCGCGATGAATCTCCGTGCGAACAAATCCGTATCAGTTTGCGCATGGTGTGGGAGTTCAGCAGAGGCCAAGTTTCGATCGGATCGACATGCTTCCACTAAAACGTTATCTCAGCAAAAGCGCCTGGTTCGGTTAGATTGGGGGTTCCCACGTGACCCAAGATAACTTTGCTTTGCCGAACTCAACTCACTCCAAGTCAAGTGACCCAGGTTGCAAATGATTGCAGGAGATGCAATCCTCGCTGCTCTCCTGTGACTTGTCACCACACAACGCTTCGTGGCATTTGGTCCAACAGACCTTCGACGAGCGCCTCGACGACTGGGAAAAGGAAAGAACCATGTGTTATACAATGTTTTACAACAGCAACAACAACAACCACCACAACCACAACAAGCACAACCACAACCACAACCACAACCACAATCACAAACAACCACAACCACAACCACAACCATAACCACAACCACAACCACAGCCACAACCACAACCACACCACTTGCATATGTTTATCAATCATTTCAACGTTGCCATGGTGTGGGATGGCTGGGCTGCTCGTTACCACTACTAAGTACAAGTTCTATATATTTGCACTGGGTCCGAGTCCCATGGATTTCACTCTATCCATGACGATGGCAAATCATAAATGCAGCTGGCAGACTTGGCAGACCTTCGAGTCAACTCGGTCTGAGAAACCCCGATAGAAGCTGTGTGCCGGATGCCCTTTAGGATTTGACCGAAGCTTTTGGATTTCAATCATTGTTTCATGCCACTTCTTAAATTATATTAAGGTGCCACATATTTATTGTTTCACGCCTCTTTAAAGACATGCCTTTCTTTTATATTGTTTCATGCCACTCCGCACGGCGGCCAACCCTGAGCCTGTGGAAGCGGTGACTGTCCGCGAGGTCAACCACCCATCTGATTGGCCGTCCGCGCCAGTCGCATGGAGTGCCTGGTGAAATACTTGAGTCAAAAATACATGAACATTTTGGTCAAGTCTCCCAGTCTCCTTGATG